CCTCTTCCACTGTGTGAGCGCCCGACTAATTGCTGCATTTTATACCGGGGGCGCCGCGGCGGCGATGAGTCGCGCGCACTATTCGCAGTGCGCCGGTGAGAAAGCGGGCGGGGATTATTCACAGCGCAGTGACCTTGGCGGCGGAGGCGCGGGCGGCGGCGGCACGCGTCGCTGCAGCAAATTATTACTGAAGACGCCCTTCAAAACGACCGGCCCGAGCGGCACGCCTAATGCAGCCACCTAGAGGAAGCATCACAAGCAAAGTTTGTTTACGTTTGTCAAATTTTACGCGCGGGATCAAAACATGATGAGGAGTGAACGGAGAAAAAATATCTTTGCATTTTCCTTTCTGCTGAATGTGCCCATAAAAAAACGGAGGTGTAGAAACCAAGTTAATTGTTTTCTTGTTCTTTGATCAGATATAAAGTGTATCCATCATCTGACGTTACGAAATTCCTAAGGTCAGCCACTCTAAGCGCCTGATAGGTAGGCAACATCTTGCCCGTGGTGCGTGCGTGTACTGCGGGGTGGCCGACCCTGAGTTTCGCAGGCGCCGAGCCCTCGTAGGTAACCGAAAGTATCAGCAAATGGGACAGAATTCACATTTGATTGAATCTGACGTCACAGTGCACGTGAGGAGTGCATCGTGTAACACGAAACGTGTCGCCTTAATTTTTAATCAGCGATAAGCATAACTCACAGGCCCGCTTTCGTTCCTAGATTTTTTTCCACAACTCATCACGGTGTCTTTTAAACTCCAGGCAGGAGGATACTACTGGTTCAACCTGCAGCAATGGCACCCAAGTCGCCGCCGCCATCGCGAAGCAGCACAGCAGTAGCAGCGAAATGACATGGGAATATACGCCTTTGACTAAATCGCGAAATAATTATCCAGCCAGGCTGGCGTCGCGCGGGATTCTCCAATCTGCAGCAAGGTGACTCATCATCATACTAATAACTATTAGCCGTACGAACCGCGCCGGCCGGCCGCACGTGGAGGGGGTGTCGCCTCGGTACATCGTTATGGTAAAGCGTCACCAAAATATTTTTGTTTCTTGCCCATCTGCTTTTGCGATTTTCCATTTTATTTTATTTTTTAAACTATCCAATGCTCGACATTATCAGAACTTGTTTTGATACTGAAAGCTTGTGACCCTTTAGTTTATAAGCATGGAATCCTTGTAAATGAAAACCATAATTTTTCACAGAAAGCAGGATGCACACACACACTAGCTTTCAGAATGTCTTGCAGAATTCATATTTAAGTAACGAACGTTGAAAAAACGACGTCATCTGTTTAACAAATGATTGTTTAAGCGTCCACAGCTTTCGCCCTGCACCACGAGCGTTAGCTCCGCTTGGTGGCCGGCCTGCGCTGCTGCTGGGCGCGCGTGCTGCTGCTGCTCCCGTGATGGCGTGCGCCGTGTGTGGCGTGGCGTGGCTCGCCGTCATTCGCATTATTTCGCATTCGCAATCTCCTTTGTTCGTGAGAAATGGGCAGATAATTAGTCCGCAATGACAGGCCTAGTGCAGCAGCGCCGCTTCCATCTCCGTCCATATGCCACGTAACACACTAGCATAGCGGTGAGCGGGTCGGTCACTATTCATTCCGTTGTGAAAAATATCCGAGTTAGAGCCTTTCATTTGTTTATAACAATTTAAAATTTTGAATTACAAACAGTTCTGCAAAATTTTGCGAAAGCTCATTCTTGTTTGTCCATCAGAAAACAAAGTCGATTCCTGGTGTCAGAAAAACTCTCCTCGTGGCAAACATTACTCATTTGTTGCTTATTGAAACGTCTCTCTAGCTCACACACGACACAAACGGGAGTGGAAATAGTGTGCCGTTCCGCCATCACGCCTTTTACACTGAGCTAGCAGTTTATAATTAGTGTGGCAGCGACAGACGTGCCTACTCAGTTCGTTCTCCAGACCGTCAACTCGACTATACTAGTTCTTATTTTTCTTTCTTTTTCCTGTCTGCGACGTGTGCAGGGCAGTGGCGTAGACAGAGTTAGAACTATGCGGAGGTGAGAGCGTTTGTATACAACGTCCATAAAGAAAATAAGAAAATGAGAGGATGCACTGTTAAATTCCTGCAAAGCATTACTCTGCAATTAAAGAGACGCGGACGGCCCGGCGGAAGTCAAGATCTGTCACGTAGGCAACCCGTCCACTAGGATTTCTGCAGCTTGCCAGGTTGCCTAATTTCCTCCAGCAAAGCTAAAAGAAATGTATAACAAAGATAGGGTAAAACAGGAGAAAGGGAGGGAGAGGGACGGAGAGGGAGGGAGAGAGGAAGAGAGAGAGAGGGGGGGGGAATGAATCGCGTCTGATCCGACAGCTACGCTACCGTCGGGCGACTGGCAACCTTGGCGCGGAAGAGCTCGCTGGCATAATATAGTAATGTTGTCTTTAAAATGTTGCGGCGCCGAGTCGAGGCGGCCGCCGCCCCGGCCCCCCCGGCGCCTCCAGCAGCAGCAGCGTGGCCGCCGGACGTATGGCTCTGGAACGCTCCTCCCGGCCTTCGCCATTAAGATCGCCTTTTGCCGCTTGCGTCACGTCACGATGAGCGCCACCGCCTTGTGTCGTACGCCGAACTACCGTCTGTCTGTGTCTGTCGTGTATATTGTAGCTGATGATGATTGCAGTGCGCGGGCGGCCGCCGCCGTCATCGACAGGAGGACGCCGCAGTAGAGGAGCGAGCGGGACAAGTCGTAGGAGCGGCTCGGCGAGGCCTCTCCACGAGCGAGCGGTGCGCGGGTCGTATGGCTGCACCAACGCCACTGCAGCGGCGACGGGGAAGGG